GTCACGAGGATGGAGCCAGACTCTTCCCAGTGGTGGCCAGCGCCAGGACGAGGGGCCATGGGCACAAACTGAAGCAGAAGAGGTTCCAGTTGAACATGAGGAAGAACTTCTTCAGTCACTCACAAGGCATCCTCCCACCCCAACGGGCCCGTGTCCCACCCTCCAGAGACAGCTCCTCCCATGGGGGACAACTGCGGAAGGGCTCCTGTCCCCAGCAAGCCGGGGGAGGGGCGGAAACATGGCTCCCTCCATCATCCCCACCACCCTGTCCCTGAGCCCCCGCCGCGGCCGACCCCAGCCCAGAGGAGAACGCAGCACAGGTACCTGAAAATGTGGGGTTTACGGTTAAAATTCATTTAATGAGCACTCCGACAGACATTCCTGAAGGCAGATTGCACTCGCCCTGACAAACCCTCCCCTGCCGAGAAAACCAGAAGGTGCCATCAAAGCTCTGCCCCCTTGAGATGCTCTGGTGCTCCAGACCTGGAGGCCAGGCAGCACCCAGCTGCACCTGTGCCAGTGTCACCAGTTTTAGGCTAAAGACATCATCCACTGTCCTTGCACCATTCATGGGTGCCGTAAAGGGCATCGCTGACAGCTCTGCTGAGAGGGACCTGGGGGATGACAAGGTGGCCATGAGCCAGCACAGTGCCCTGGTGGCCAAGAAGGCCAAGGACATCCTGGGGTCCATCAGGAGGAGTGTGGCCAGCAGGGCGAGGGAGGTTCTCCTCCCCCTCTACTCTGCCCTGCTGAGACCCCACCTGGAGCACTGGGTCCAGTTCTGGGCTCCCCAGTTCAAGAAGGATGAGGAACTCCTGGAGAGAGTCCAGAGGAGGGCAACAAGGATGATGGGGGGACTGGAGCATCTCCCCTAGGAGGAAAGGCTGAGGGAGCTGGGCTTGTTCAGCCTGGAGAAGAGAAGGCTGAGAGGGGATCTCATCAACACCTACTCCTTGGCCCTGGCCCAGGCTGCCCAGGGGGGCTGTGGAGTCTCCTTCTCCATAGATATTCAGCCCTCAAGTCCACAGGAATTCCCCGGAAAGGCTCAGACTGGGTCTCCTCGCAGAGCTCCGGGAGGGGACAGGAGGGAACTGGGGTTGTTCAGCCTGGAGAAGAGGAGGCTGAGGGGAGCCCTTATTGCCCTCTACAACTGCCTGACAGGAGGCTGTAGGGAGGTGGGGGTCGGCCTCTTCTCCCTGGTAACAGATGATGGGACGAGGGGGAATGGTTTGAAGCTGCACCAGGGCAGGTTTAGGTTGGACATTAGGAAAAATTTAAAACTTCTTCCCCAAAAGGGCTGTCAGGCTCTGGAATGGGCTGCCCAGGGAGGTGGTCGAGTCCCCACCCCTGAGGAGATTTAAAAGAAGGAGAGATGAGGTGCTTAGGGCCAGGGTTTAGTGGTGGGATGGCAGGGGTAGGTTAACGGTTGGACTTGATGATCTTAGAGGGCTTTTCCAACCAAAGCGATTCTATGATTCTATGATTTCCAAGTGCTTAACCGTTAATTTAACAATTTAGATTGCCAGGGTTCTCAAAGCACTGATCCGACAGACTTCATCCTCATTCTTTTAAGACCTGGAGGATATCACCTCTGATTAAAGCGAAGCAGAAGACGTGAGGAGGGAAACTGAGGCACGAAGAGGAGCTACTTTGACCGCAGCAGCAGAGCAGCCAGAACCTGGGCTGGGGGGAAGCGGGCGGCTGTGGATGAGACCCAGCGGGTGCTGGTGTAACAGACTGGTTGTAATGATTCCCCTGAGCAACCGCATCTTTCTGCATCCAACCAATTTGGGGACCTCCTCCAGGTGCTGGTCCCACGGCAGGCAGGGGTGAGGCAAGGAGAGATGTCAACCTCAGAGCGTTGTTAAGCCAGAATGAGGAGGAAGAGGAGGAGAATGAGGTGTCCCAGGGTCACCAGCACGCTGGCGGTGGAGCAGGATGTGGCAGCGGAGGACTCACCTGGAGGCAGAGGCAGACGCGGGGTGTGGGGAGGGCTGGGGGGTGCCCAGCCCTGGCAGGGGGCCCCCCAACCCCCTCCCCACCCACCCACGGTGCAGGGGGGAAAGGGACCCAGCACTTCTGCCCCATGGGCCACCTCCAGCCTTGCAGGGAACTCGCGGTCCCCAGGGTCATCGCCGCTGCTCCGGGGACCCCCCAAAGCCAAGACCACCCCGCAGCCCATCCCACCCAAGCTTTGCCATCTCATGGGTGCTTCCATGGGTGGTACCTGTCCAGGAGCAGGGGTGCCTGTAGGTCAGCGAGGCGCTGTTGGAAGAGACAGGGTTGCTGACTTTGCAGGTGTAGGTTTCCATCAAGGGGTTGAAGGAGACACTCTGGCTAGAGGCACTCGCCTCCGCCTGCAGGAACTTGTTGGGGGCGATCCACTCGTAGGTCACCTCTTTGAGCCCCACCGAGCACTCCAGGGTGGCTTTGCACAATGCCAGCTCATCACTGATCACTTTGACACGGACAGTTGGCTTCGGGACCAGATCTGCAAGAGGCAGCAGGATGTCACAGCCTCCCTGTCCCCCTAGGGGGGGGCACTTCGACAACCCTCCCATCCCCCCCAGCTCACCGTACACCTGCAGGAAGATGGTTTCAATGTTCTCCTTGCCCGTCTCATCCTCCAGGTAGACTTGGTACATGCTGCTGTCATCTTTCTGCAGGTGGCTGATTTTTAGGGTGTTGTTGGGGAAAAGCTCCAGGCGTCCCTTGTAGGGGCTGTCGGGGTACTGGGCCTTGGCCTTGCCCTCCCGGCTGGCGATCTTCACGGAGTTGTGGCCCCGCCAGTGGATTCGGGAATAGGAGACCTGGGTTTGCAGGCTGGGACTAAGATAAGCCACCCCACCGACAGCCCCGGCCACCTTCGGTGGTTGATGCTGTTGAGCCCAGGCTGCTGAGAAAAGCAGAATCATAGAATCATAGAATCACTTTGGTTGGAAAAGCCCTTTAAGACCATTGAGTCCAACCACTAACCTAACCCTGCCATCCCACCACTAAACCATGTCCCTAAGCACCTCATCTATCCTTCTTTTAAATACCTCCAGGGATGGGGACCGACCACCTCCCTGGGCAGCCCATTCCAGAGCCTGACAGCCCTTTCGGTGAAGAAGTTTTTCCTAAGGTCTAGCCTAAACCTGCCCTGGCGCAGCTTCAAACCATTCCCCTGCGTCCTATCATCTGTTACCAGAGACCGATGGAGGCTTCGCCAACCGGATGCAACCCCACCCCGCCCCAGAACTCGTCCGCTTGGGGAACCTCAATTCATCCCAGACGCACGGAAAATGCAAATAACCCATTTTCTCACTAATTTCTAACATCTTGATGCTCTCTCGGGCTCGGAGGTGGGCAGCCCTAAGCTGGTGACAGGATTTCCACCTCCCCACCCTCAGCACGGGACGGCCCACATCCCCCGCTGAAGCTATTTTTTTTGCCTTTGGTTTTCATTTTGGGGGGTCCTCTCCCCTTCTCCAGGCTCACCCGGAGCAGCCCCTCACCCCCAGTTGGTGGTGGCGATGCCGGGGGCTCCCGCGGGAAGGGAGCCAGGGGCTCCAACCTCCGGCACGGCGCCAGGATGGGCAAAGCCGGGGGAGAGAGAGGGGACAGGGAGGATTTACCCATGGGCACTTCCCCAACGTCCCTCGCCGCCCCCAAAGCCATCTCCCCCCCAGCCCAGCACCCTCACCCCAGGGGACCCCAATACCGTACCCTGCATGATGAGGAAGAGGAAGAACACCACCACCAGAAGCCCCGACGCCATCTTCTCGCTGTGTCCGCACCCAAACCCCGGGGTGGAAATCCCCTTCGCCGCAGAGCTGCTCACCAAGGACCCACCCCCACCCCTCCCCAAGCCTGCACCCCCCTCTCACCCAAACCCAGGGCAAAGCCCCCACAGGAAAGGAGATCGCGGAACAGACTGGGCGCGAAGGTTCCTTCTTCCGCTTCCTCTGAATCGGTTGCGGAACACCAAGGGCTTTCAGGGGGTTCGTGAGGTGGCCCTATGGGCGAGAGCGGGCAGCAGCCCCAAGCCTCCCTGGGCACAGCAGGCACAGCACCCCATGGGTGCCCAACCCCTCCATCAGTGTCAACCCACCATCCTGACGGTAAATGAAACGCAGACCCCAGGGGTCACATCTCCCCTTAACAGCCGCTTGCAACCACCCCCTGCG